CCATCTCTCTCGCCCTTCCCTCTCTCTTCCTCCGCGCGCGCGCGCTCTCTCTCTCTCTCTATCCCTCCCTCTCTGCTGTGGCTTAAGCCGTCACCCTTGACCCCGCTAGGTCCCGTCATTAACAACACCCCTCGTTAAGTTTTGCGATCCGTCCGGCAGGGTCGGGCAACACAGCGCAACTTTCGACAGTTTCCTTTCGCAATTTACGAAGTTTTTTGTCCCAACATCTTTATTAATCAAATATTTACAGAATAAACGTTTTATGGTCTGCTCTCGGCGGAGAGACAAGTATACTGTTCAAATTCTGATTTTTCTCTCCACTTTGCGAGACTGCTCATCTCGTGTTACTGAAATATTCATGGGAATGATCTCTGCGAGCGCTTCTCAGAAAATGCCTGGAGAAGCGTCGGGGAAAGTGTGCTTCTTTACCCTCGGAATGTGTGTTTGTGAGCGCGGAGAGAGAGAGGGGGAGAGGGAGAGGGAGAGAGAGGGAGAGAGAGTGAGAGCGACCCGCAAAGTAGATGCAAAATGGAACAGGAGCAAGCAACAGCACGCAGAGAATGTTTAGAAATACCAGCCTGTTTGTCCATGGCGCTCCTCCTGTCCACCGCATACCAACCGTTTCTCGCTCTCCGTCATTAATTCTGCTTCCGTCCGAGGCGCGTGTCTCCTCGTCGTGTATTATGCTGCTTTCTTAAAGTGGATGCGGCGAGCAAAAGTTTCCCAAGATGCAAAGTGTGTGCCGCGTGCCCCCGGAACGGAAAAACCCGTCCTTGTTACAAGTAGATAGGATTTTCTAACGTTTACCTTTTTCCACGGGTGTTCCTGCAAGCTTGTAGGGTACCAAACGAACTTTCCCCCCTACAATTGACTAAAATTCTGCGCGTTCTTAGCGCCACTTTCGCACCTCTCGTTCAATTCAACCGTCAGGCTACACGTGTGCCTTTCCAGTCGAAAACTGCTTATCCTGCTATCGCACGTAGAATCGCAACCTGTTCCCCCGTCAGCGTTTGCTTGTTTGGCGTGCCACATGGTAGTTGTGCCACTCCGCCTGTCAATTGCCCTCTCCTCTTTACTCCTGTTCGCTGCTATGCACTCAGTTTTTCTATTATTATTTTTTGCCGTTTGACTGCTGCAGCCACATTGTCAACGCCCAATGGTGCGGTTAAACTACACTCTAAAGGGGAGGGACAGTTTTCAGAACCATGTGTTTAATTGATCATTAGAAACGAAAGTGTTGCTACTTCAAGTACTGTACAATAAATATTGTTCCTCTTCGTTTAGAGTGTATGCCCGTACGAAAATAAAACAACTCTTCTTCTGAATCGACGCCTGTCATAGGTTAGTACAGTATTGCAGTATATTTATCATCGCGCTGCAGAGTTCTCGTGTCGGCATACTCCCCTCTGATTAAAGTCGATTTTTTAGCTCGGTGGCAGCCGGCTATGTCCCCCTCTCCTTCTCCTCTCCAAACTTCGACACCTCAGTGTTCCCCCCCCCCCTTCTCTCCCTTCTCCTAAAAAAAGTGTCAACACTTTAGTTACAACAAAAGACAGCGGCGTCAACTTATCAGGGGTAATTAAGTAATGAAGTAATGAAGGTTGCCCACATACATGGGGCTGTTGTACGTAACATTTTAGTATAGAAATGAATCGACCG